ATCGTGCGACTATTGAGGTTTTTATGATTTCATACCTTCACACTTTCAAATATATCTAAACCAGGAACGAGTGAAATATATTTTCTAGCATGATAAGACTCTTGGTTTTTTTTGAAGAAAGTGGCTACATTTTTTTCTAGTTGTTTGTGTCTTGTCGTATTATCTAACAGCTGAAAGATTATTATGAACTAAAATAAATTTATTTCAGCCATATTCGTTACAGATACCATCATTATAACCCGAAAAAGATTAAATCAAGATGAAAAATATTTTCTAATATATTAACTTTTGTCATAGGAATATAGTATCTTGGAATCGAAGTGATCTTACACACAGTTAGGTATTAAATAAAGTATGATTATTTCTACACCTGCGATAGCGTCTTCCTTTAGACATGTGTGCTTTGCCTGACAGCTTAGTGATAAACTTTGATGATAACTGTTTTTAAATCAGAACAAAACCAAGAACATACATATCCTATTATGGAGCGGTTCGGTCCACTCTGCCATTGAGAAAAGGTCACACCAATACGGTTTTTTTGATTTTTCTTTGATTAATACAGTTTAATTAGAATAGTTTCGCACTTAATTTGCTATGGCATCTTGCAGAGCAAACAATTTTCTACAAACTGGGTATACTTGTTGAATTTTCGCCTGCTCGTCTTCAGTCTTTTAGACACATTTTTCAGATAGCTCTAAAACCGAGGAGCGGAAGAACCAGTCGTTAATTCATCTGAACAAAATGATATGGTAAATAAAAGTTTTGTATAATTTGCGACGACTATGATCATTCTCAACCTTGAGAAAACATAACGAAGACAAATTAATCCTTAGCTAGCAAATTAATAAAGGTGTTTTATGATTGCGAGATCTTGTATGTTAGAACGCCAGAGATAGGCTTTTGATGATACTTAGGGCATACCAAAAGTAATGACGTCATCACTTTGTTTCCTTATAGAAAGCTTGAAGAAACTTTCTTTTTTTATGCAGTTATAGACAAAACGATGCTCTATTTTTCTATCCTATTTCATCACTATTCACCTAATGTCATAATTATAAAATTTCGATAAGACCTGTTGCTTTCGCATGTGTGATGGTAATATGAATACTCATGAGTATTTTTTGAATAACTTGTCATAGAAACAAGATAGAGAACTGCGATTTTTACGGTTGGAAAGAGGAGATGAAGATACATCGAATCGTGTATTAAGGTTTTTCTAGTATGATTTTCGAAGTTTTTTTTTATTCAATTGTCTAACCGTCTGAAAAATGTACTTTTAATGAAAAAAAGCAAAAACCCAAAAATTTGCTAGAAAATCGGAATGTGAACCTGATTATTGAAAATTCACTGTCAAAAACCCACGAGAAAGGTTTGTTCTTTAAAAGGTCAACTGAAAACCTTACAAAAAACAGGTTAAAGAATCTGTAATATACGGTTCGATGCGCCTTCTTCTCCTCTTTTGAATGGTGAAAACCGCAGCTCTCTACCATATTTCTATCAGAACTTATTCAAAAAATATCAGCATTCATATAACCATGACATATCGTAAGAAACAGCTCTTTTTTTTTTTGAAAATTTTATAGTTATGATATTAGTTGAATAGTGATAAAATAGGATAGAAAAATAGAGCATCGTTTTGTCTGTAATTGCATAAAAAAAGAAAATTTCTTCAAGCTTTCTATAAGGAAATAAAGTGATGGCGTCATTACTTTTGGTATGCCCTGGGTAAATTGAAAGTGATACACAGACGGAAATATTTTTGCGCAGTCTCTCGTTACACAAAGACCGTAATCAGGAAAATGACAGGTTTGCCCGGCGAGATACTTGCATGTTGAAATTTGATGTACTGGTTTGAACTGTCAACGGTAATGTGTCAAACTTGTTTAAACTTTTGTTTTTTAAAAGTTTCTTTCTCTGTCTTGCTTTCCTTAGCTTTTTTGCTTTATAATTCTATTGTAAGGTTGTTGATCATATTGTGAGTAGTACAAATAATCTTACATTTAATGTTTGGGATTGATTCGATTCCTTTAATGAATTTAAAAGCAAATTAAATGACTATTCAACTCATACAGGAGCGATGTTTTCTATCAATCATTCTACAAACTTGAAACATACATCTGAATTAGTTTATCAAATCGTTTATTCGTCTGTTGTTATGGTATTAAACAACGTAACCGTAGTAAGGGTATCAGACCACAACAGTATCATATGTCACTAGGCTGTCCGGCCAAAATTCGTCTATCTAACACCAGCACAAAACTGAAAATCACTATGTTACAATTTAATCATAATCATACAGTTGAACCACCAAAGCTAAAATATTATTCACGTAATCGTCGTTTAGATAATAATACAATTGAAATAATAAAAAAATATGATAATCATAAAGTTCCACGAAGTATTATACGTAACATCATCATGAGCGAAAATCAATCAAAACTTACTACAATTAAAGACATATCAAATATTTTAGATAAGACAACTATCAACAATCTCCCATCCCAAGCTACTGCAATTGAAAAAATTCTAAATGAAATGAAAATCTTAGATTCAACAGCAACGATTGATGTAACAATATCAGGAAACAATCAGCTTGAGATGATTTATATTGCAACAACACAAATGCAAGAAAACTTTAAAAAATATTATCACATTATATTTTTTGATGTTACTTATAGAATTAATATAGAAGGATTTTGTTTGTATGTATTCTTAATACAAGATGGTCGAGGTATAGGTATGTGGCAAGGTGAGTATACCACAATGCATACCTTTTCTCAATATAATATGAGATAAGAACAATAAAGCAAAGATATTCCCCTTATTGTATAGATTATTTTACTATCGATGCGAGATCAAAGATAAAAGTAAAGATTACCTTCGTTCTTTTCGATTGCCTGAGAAAAAGATATTATTTAAGTTAGAATAAGAAAAGTATAGCTGTGCAAAATGCCAGTTTTGACGCGATGAAAAACTCATTTTTCCGTCGCTGCGAGATTAAACGATAAAAGTAAAAGCTGCGTCAAAACACAATATTTTTCATAACGTCAAAACTGACATCAGTTTTGACGTTATGAAAAATATTGTGTTTTGACGCAGCTTTTAGAAGAATATAAGAATAAGGGCAAAGCAAAATTAAACACTAGTACGTGTGAAGCTGTTGGATCTAAGCCAGATTCGATTAAGAAAATACACGAAGAGCTAACTAAATTATTGAAAAGTTTGAAAAAGGTAAAAGCTTTTTCAAATTTTCATGGAAAGATAGTTGTAAAACAAAAGCGGCTACCAATTATAAGCGCTAGGATAAAAGTACGCAAATCAGATTATTCGGTAAGGTTAATAATTAACCTGAGAAATACCTTTAGTCGATAACTATGTAAATTTATTACGAGAACTATAAGTAAAATAAGTGATGAAATTAGATCTGTTAAGGATAGGGTATTTCTATCGGCATCGTCCCACACTAGTAGGTAAATCTTTTAGTGCCGTCCAGACACGTGTTGTACAAACGGGGACTATCTCATTCGATGGAGAATTCGACGCTGATTTTAAAAATGTCATTTGAAATTTTTGTAAACTCCAGTGGATGGTCGAAAAATCGGTCGAAAGATGGCGTTTTCTTAGGTTTTTATGGGTTTTTGGAATTTATTTTT